AAAGCAAAACGTGCTAAACTCGAAACAGAGAAAGCATTATCTGAATCGATATTGAGATTCATGAGCAAACCGGAATCAGCACCTTCAGCTACCCATTCGAGCGATGGTGCTCAGGAAGCTGATTCTGCAGCAGCAGCAGGAGCGTCACCAGCGTCGGTTTCAGGGACATTAGCAGCAGAAAACGAGGTTTGTGAAGGGACAGAGAAAAAAAATGAGAAACCAGACGGTTCTGATTCTGAAAGTGATGTAGAAAATGATGGCAATGAGAATCAAGCAGAACACTCTGTGGCTGATGATTCCAATTGCTTTTCTGATGTTTCCTATTGGAAATTACCTATGCCAGCTTACCTAAGAGTGAACATCATCAAGATGGGGAGTGCAACCTTCCAGAATAAGGATGGGCCATTTACTGTTTCATCCAGATCTGGGGAAGGCGTGAAAGGTAAGCAGCGCCAATTAACGAAAGAATGGTTCTATCTTGTGACGCCTGATGGTGACAGAGTCCTACGCACTTGGATGGTGTATTCACGTATAAGCCACAAACTGTTTTGTTTTTGCTGTAGGCTGTTTACTGTTCAAGCAACGGAAACAACCTCAAAATTTGTCACAGGTTTCGATAGCTGGTGGAAGCTTAACCCAAAAGTTCAATTCCATGAAAGATCCGGAGAGCACATTCGATGTCTGGAGAAGTGGAAAACGATGGCTACAAATCTCAAGTCTGGTTCAAATATCGATCAACATCTTATCGATCAGAGAGAGAAGGAATCTAAAAAATGGTATGATGTGCTACATCGCTTACTTGACATTACTTTGTTCCTGGCTAAGCAAAACATTGCTTTTCGGGGCCACAGGGAAGATGAGCTTTCCTCAAATAGGGGAAATTTTCTAGAGCTAGTAGAACTGATTTCTAGATATGACCCGGTTCTGAAGGAGCATTTGTTGCGGTTGAAGCATTGTGTCGATTTGCAAGTCCAGCCCCATGTTTCTTATCTCTCGCCGCAAACACAAAACGAGTTCATCGAGATGTTGGCAGGTCATGTTAAAGGGAGAATTCTCTCAGATATAAGATCATCGAAATATTATGGGATTATGTTCGATAGCACCCCAGATGCATCGCACGATGACCAAATGTCTGAAATTATCAGATATGTCAAGATTGAAGATGGGAAAGTCGAAGTAAAAGAATCATTTCTCGGTTTTTTTATTCTGAAAGGGAAAAAAGCCGTTGATTTGAGCAACGATATCCTTCATCAACTTGAAGGTAATGGATTGGACTTTATGAAGTGTCGTTCACAAAGTTATGACAACGCTATAACGATGTCAGGTACACATGGAGGAGTTCAGGCCTTGCTGAAGAAACAAAACAAAAAAGCGGTGTTCAACGGATGTGTAGATCACTCGTTAAACTTATGCGGCCAACACGCTTTTGCTGTGAACCCACAGTGTGTTACATTTTTTGGAACTGTCGAAGCCGTTTACTCGTTTTTTGCTGTTTCAACTCATCGATGGGACGTGCTGCTGCATCACACAGGTGTGGCGGTAAAAAGATTATCGCAAACCCGCTGGAGTGCGCATTATGAAGCGGTAAAACCAATTTACGCAAACTACGATGGGCTGATCGCTGCAATCGAAGCATTGTCTGATCCAGCTGAAAATTTGAATACCAGAGCAAGTGCACGAACCCTTCTGCCTGCGGTTTGTGACTTTACTTTTCTCTGTTATTTATACTTTTGGTGTGACGTCTTGCAAGAAGTTGATATTGCACAAAAGTACTTGCAAACGAAGGGATTGTCACTTGACAAGGTTTTGACTAAGCTAAAAGCACTCGAAATCTTTTTGACGGCTGAACGCAACAATCTTGTTGAAAACGCCATTGAGAAGGCTCTTTCCAAGTCAAAAGAGTATGGTATTGCTGTGGAGAGGAGAGTTCGTTTCAAGACAAGAAAGCCAGGTGGCCAACCGTCGAAACCCGGGCCTACGTTGGAAGAGGAAAACAGAACTGGTATGTTGGACTGCATCGATTGTTTTTATGATGAACTGCTGAAGCGATCAAAACCGGTGAAGGAGGTGGCGGACATTTTTGAAGCAATTCAAACTGAAAACTTGCTATCAGCGTCTGATTTAGAACAGAAAACGTCTGCTAATAAACTAACGACTTTCTACGACGAAGTGTCCGAAAGCGAACTGTTGTTGGAGATCCCAAGGTTTCGGAGACATCTGAAAGCAGCAGAAATAATTATGGATGATGCCAAACGATGGAGTGCACTGGATGTGCTACAGTTCATCGTCAAATGGGACTTCCAGGAAACACTTCCAAATCTCACGGTTGGTTTGAAGTTGTTTCTAACCGTGTGTATTTCCGTGGCGTCCTGTGAGCGAAGCTTTTCCAAGTTAAAGTTGATAAAAAGTTATTTACGAACAACTATGGCACAATCGCGCTTAACTGGGTTGGCTTTGTTGTCTATTGAATGCGAATACGCTAACTCCACTGACTTTGACGAAGTCATAAGACAATTTGCTGCAGTTAAGTCAAGACGTGTCAAGATTTGCTGATTTCTTGTTTTGTATTCAAATAAACGATGTTTTTGGCTTGGTAAACTAGATGTTTTATTTATGTTTTATTAAGGAAACAGTAATTTATGGTAAGTACTCATGTGCATATAAAACATGGGGTGACACCCACAAAATCCGAACCGGGTGTCACCAGGGTACGCTACGCCACTGGCTACACCAGCGTACGTACTGGTACTACTCTCTTTCTCATTTCGTTGCTGGTTTTCTTCTTCTTTCCGTTGTTGTACTGGCTGCTTCCGATCCTTCCGCTTGGGGCAGGGATTCATGCGATGCCCCTCCGTCTTACAAAGGAAACACAAATTTGTGTTCCCTTGATAACATCCCGAGCAGGAGAAAATAACTTATTAATACCTAATTCTGACTTGATATCAACATTTGGTATTGACCAGCATGACATAAAAGGTAAAATACCAAAGAATAATATCAAAAAGTTACAAGCAAAATACTTTGTTATTACCAATAATTGATATTTGGATACCAAAAGAATACCTGTGTGGTATTGCATTATCATAATTTGGTATTGGAATGGTAATGTAGGAACATTTTTTTTTTGGTATTTTACCTCATATGTGTAGCGGTGCCGGTGGTATAGTGGTAAGCGTGATTACCTCTCACGCCAGCAGGCCTGGGTTCAATACCAGTCGGCGCCGCCGGGATGTTCTGAGGCATAACAACTCTGATCACGCCTTCCTAGGGAAGTAAAAGCCGTTGGTCCCCGGTTCATGAGTTGATGGGTCGATAGGTATGGTCCAGGTGTTGGAGCTGCCTCCCTGGCGTCGGTAGCATTGGTGCTCAGCACGGAAAACAAGATCGACGGAAAAAAACCAAGGAAAAAAAACACCTTGTATGTCAGGCTTATCCATACCAATTTAAAGTATCAAGATATTCGTTCCTGCTCGGGTTTCGATTGAGTAAATGCAGCGAGTTGTTAATCTTTATTTTTACATTCATATATAGGGTAGAGAACTACTTCAGCCCAATCGCCTATTTTGGGCCTATCGAACTTCAAATAAATCCAAGATTTCAGAGTTAACAAGTCAATTATGCATTTGGTACGATACTTTAGTTAATAAGCTACGGAACGAAGTAAATGAGAACGCGTGATATGAAGGTTTGCACCCATTATTCCCAAAAACAAAAGAAGCGCTCCAACCGAATCATGTTTTATCTTCATCTGATAGGCCGAAGGGAATTCATTGGCGTTTCAATGCGTTAGACCGAGTTTAGAATCTGTAGGCCGAGTTTGGCGTCAAAAAGCAGTGTTAAACATTTGACAATATCTCAACGATTGGTTTCTCTTTATCAAATCTTACGGTACGTACGGAAAGGTAAGGCCTGCTGAGGTGAAAGGTAATCACGCTTATCACTACACCACCTTGCTTAACTTGCTTCATCTTCGTCGCATTTACAAGCTAATTGCTTATCGCATATTAGCTTATTGCAAGCTCTCAACTTAGTATTCTAGATGCACTCCCACAGTTATTAATTGAAAACATTCGATGCCTGTACCATTTATGCATAAGTATAAGTGGCAATTATCCTCGGCCCATACCAATTTAAAAAAAAAATGTGTATGGACAATTGCCTACGCATGGGGAGGGGGAGCAAGAATCCCAAAAACTGTCTACGTAGTCAATGAACAGCCCCTTACATGTTTCTGACTCACATATGAGCTCACATGTTGTTTGATTTATTGCTCATTTCCAAAATTTTGTTTCATTCCGCTTAATATTCCTCATGTTCCTTTCTTCTTTTCAAAAACACGACAAACCGTTAATATGTCTTCACGTAACCGCGTTCCATAGTTCCGTAAAATAGAATATAAACAAACTAAACACAGTCCGCTGCTGTCCCGTATTTCGATTCACATTATAATTACGACTGGGCCACTTATTGTTTAGTCGTCAGCACATGTCACACTGATCAAATTACCATTACAAAGGAGAAATGGAAATCGAGATGTGGTCTGCTTTAATCATATGGACATACATGCATTTATCACCAGTTCCGTTTCACATAAAGTTCTACGCTGAATTTGCCTCACATCGCAGCCTATCCTTCATTCTCTCTTGATGTTGATGCGTGGGCTGAATATTTATACTGACGAGAGAATATTATTTATTAAAATAGGCTACGTAAAAGTAGAAGTTAACGCTAGAAAAGAAACCCATTTATTAAACGATATTAAAATACAATTTCATGATTTACAGAATCAATCGAAAAGCACCGGAACATGGGGAGAAGTTTCAGTATTTCAGCCAGTTTATACTGATAAGACCTAATCTTAGATAAAGTTGCTTGACCAGTACAAGTATTTATTTCGTCTTTCGTAAATTTATACCCAAGATAGCGCAATCATAAATTTATATTAACACAAGTACAAAGGAAAAACATACACACGGTAATAATAGCAAAAATGTACTTACGCTCAGAGATCCTAAATCAGATTAATCCAACAAAATAGATTAGAACTAAAAGGAAGGCCTGGACCGATGGATCGACAGAAACGGCAAATGAAGCCGATTGTTCACTTTAATGACAGCATTTTACACTTGCTGTCAACTTCATCAATTCAGAACTTTACCAAATTTGGAGCTATGCTCAGAAAATCCAGACAAAATAGATTAAATTTCAACAAATTTGCACCCTGACAACTATTTTGTTGATTAATGAAACTTTGAATTCGGAATCACTCCTCCTTCGGCCGAGTCTTCGGCTTCAGTTTTTGGAAACAACTGTCAGTCTTCGGACCCGGGCTGGGTTCAGACTGCTGGTCGAATTTCAAAAGTTGTAGTAGAACATGGAAGCGCTGCCAGTTCACAAGGAAGTTTCTTTGCTAACAATGAATTACCCTCGGAATGACCAACATGGTTGATTTTCCCAACAGATGTCACCAGTAAAAAAAAAGTAATGGCGATTTATTGGCAAATCAAAGTTGGCACGCGTGGAGAATAGAAGAACTATGAAAGTGATGATGGTTTCAAAATTTTCCACGGGGAAGTATACGAGTGCAATCTTAAAATGCTTTTATTTTGTGAATGGAGCATTTTATTTAAATCTGGTTAGTGCTACGTTAGTAGAAAACTTCAGGACTACTCAATAGACATATAATACAGAAAACTTAATTTCTTTTCAGATTTTTAGGTGTAAACATAGATTTCCGCTTTTCTACCACTGTAGCAGTAACCAGATTTAAATAAAATGCTCCATTTTCAAAATAAAAGCATTTTAAGATTGCACTCGTATACTTCCCCGTGGAAAATTTTGAAACCATCATCACTTTCATAGTTCTTCTATTCTCCACGAGTGACAACTTTGATTTGCCCATTGTAAATGCAGAAATCCAGAAAATGTTAATATTCACAAAGTTAGAATCTGTTTGAAAAAAAAATAAAATGATACGTCAGTAATACCAACAATCAATACGAAACTAACGATTTTAAATTGGCTCACTACTTGACTACCCGCATAAACGCGAACCATAAATTGACCTTATCTAAAATGGTTAAAAATTGTTTATAATCCCTGCTAAACTTTAACTGAAATGGTTATGGAACTTTACATGAACGTTTAATGATAAAGTTTCAACCTTATGTATTATGGGTTTTTGGAACTGGACCTTACAAATAATGGGTTGTTAAGAACCATTACCATTCCAAATTCTTGTTTTCTCCATACATTTTCAGAAAGAGAACTATATAAGAACGTTTTTACTTATGATTTGTGAACATTAATGGTAATGGTTATGGTAGTCAGTAAGGTCCATTAATGGTTTTGTATTATCGCTCAACTTTACGTGGAATATATCATGAATTGGTAATCATTAAATTACAGGCAACCAATTCGCGATATATTCCACATAAAGTTGATCGATGTTACAAAACCATTCGTGGACCTTACTGACTACCATAACCATTACCATTAAAGTTCTCAAGCCATAAGTTTAAAGGTTCTAATATAGTTCTCTTTCCGAAAATGTATGGAGAAAACAAGAATTTGGAACGGTAATGGTTCTTAACAACCCATTATTTGTAAGGTCCAGTTCCAAAAAACCATAATACATAAGGTTGAAACTTTATCATTAAACGTTCATATAAAGTTCCATAACCATTTCAGTTAAAGTTTAGCAGGGATTATAAACAATTTTTAACCATTTTAGGTAAGGTCAATTTATGGTTCGCGTTTATGCGGGTAGCCTATTGGCACAAACGAAGTGACAGACGACTAACTGGCGAAGAAATCCATTTAAATAATGTGGTTCACTGTTATAGAATTTCCTTGGAAGCTTGTTCCATCATCCACCAGATGGGTTAGTTTTTTTGTTTTGATTTGAACAAAGTTGATTTTGTGTACAATGATTCTTTGACAGTGTGCAAAGAGTGCGTATCATTTTGTCATTTTTTTTATGCATTTCAGTTTTGAGTAGAGTGAAAGAGATAGAACCAAAACATTCTAGTACATTTGGTGAAAATGCTAGTTCAATCTAGTAGTAGTGTTGCCATGTGGTACAATCCAGTAGTAGTGGTGTTGCCATGTGGTACACTGAAAAATTGCAATAGCAGGTTAGTCACCAAAGTTTTCGAGCCGCTCCGTCTGTCACTTCGTTTGTGCACAAACGAAGTGACAGACGACTTACTGGCGAAGAAATCCATTTAAATAATGTGGTTCACTGTAATAGAATTTTCTTGGAAGCTTGTGCCATCATCCACCAGATGGGTTAGTGTTTTTGTTTTGATTTGAACAAAGTTGATTTTGTGTACAATGATTCTTTGACAGTGTGCAAAGAGTGCGTATCATTTTGTCATTTTTTTTATGCATTTCAGTTTTGAGTAGAGTGAAAGAGATAGAACCAAAATATTCTAGTACATTTGGTGAAAATGCTAGTAGTGATGCTAACATTTGATAACGGCACAAAAGCATTTGTAAACAAACTTTCTAAGGCCCTTTACACTTGAACAAAAGTACGCTCACGCAAACCAATACCACTTTCGGAAAGGTGATAGTTGCCTCTATCCGATGTTGTTGTTGGTTTGCGTGCCCTAATAACATTCGAATGGTTATTTTGCTTAACGACGTGTTTGGGATATAATCCAAACCATTTGTGGAAAAGTTTGACAATTTGGGTAATCGTTCGTTTATGGTATTTTTTTTATTAGGGTGGGCGTACTTTGGTTCGCGTGTAAAGGGCCTTAGAAATTTTGTTTACAAATGCTTTTGTGCCATTATCAAATGTTATGCCTGATATTATGTGAACGAGTTCCTGTACCTCTTTTCTATATTCGATCAACAAGTCGAAACCCCATTGTCGACCTGCAAGCTGTCAAATTTTTGACTTACTGTTCCATCATCTTCTTTAAGCATCGAGTTTGTTCGATCTGACTTTCACAGAATTCTACTCGCGAAGCATTTTCCATCCCATGGATGCTCCATGTTGCGAAATCGATTCGAATCCGGTATTTTTCCCGTAAAAAGTGTGTTGCGTGGTACTTAAAATACTATTAATCGAATAATCGTTTATGCCGTAACATTTCAGCAGTGTAATTCGTCGGAAATTGCTGAAAATTGGCGGTGAAATTTAGAGTTGAAATTTGCGTCAAATCTCGACGGGAAAACTGGTGTTCCTTCTCATTGCATCTTGGCGTCGTGTTCGTGTTTTTTCGTGGAAATATTCCATGATCTCTTGAAGTTTAGGCTTTGTGTTCTTTTTTTTTGCGTTTAAGTAAAAGTTTTATTTTTTATTGCTGGAAGTGATACCAGCAGTGGGATGTCCCTCCGTCAGTATCGTAAACCGACCCACAGCGCTGCCGATGGTGCAGTTCCTTCGAGTCCCAGTGCAGGTAAGAGGAGTAGCGGTTTCTGCCAGTGATGCGGCTCGTCCCTCATCTCTTCTACTTTCAAAGGGCCATTGGCCATCATTGCCTTCTTTCTCCAACCTTTCGCTCCAGCAGCTGTTTCAGTCGCTGTGTTTACAGTTTTTCGCTGTGCGTCATTTTCTGGGTATTCTATACGCGCTGTGCGACGTCTTTCGGTTTCAAAGTTAGATTCTTTAAAGTAAACAAAAAAAACAGTGGTCGCGTTTAGTAGTTCATGCAGTGCCAACATTTCAAAGGGGCGTAATTGCTTTTGTAAACAATGGCTTTAGACGTCGATTTCTCGCAAATTAAAACCCACCCCTCCAAATTACAAATGCTAGCTGATATAGGAAACATACCTCTGTATGCTGGTGTCATTCATTTTCATGAGTGAGCTTTCATTCGCGAGAAGTCGACGACTAAAGCCATTGTTTACAAATGCAATTACGCCCCTTTGAAATGTTGGCACTGCATGGTTGTTTTTGCAATTTTGAAAATTTTCAGTAGGTTGCAAAAAACCTTTTTTGTAATAATTTCAGGCGATTTAAAACTGGAGAAAGTGCCAGGACGGCAGCGTATACAAGCACTAGTGGACAGTGGAAGCGAAAGTGAATGCAATATTCCCACAAAGGTGCTGACGGACAAGGTGATTGCATCGCCAATTCCTATTCCGGCGGTTGGGGCAGTTTCAACCAGTGCCAGTCCAACAAGTCCGGTAAATGGTACTTCATCAGCTCCGGTGCTCACCGTCAGAGATAAGGAGCTCTGTCTGCAAAAAGTACGTGCCGAACGACCCGATGTGGACACGATGCTCGTTCAGGATACTCTTGTTCGGAATCAGTGGAGTGTGGAAAAGACATTGGAGGACTTGAAATCGCACACGACCACTAAGAAACGCACCTTTGAACCTTCGCCGGCTCAAAAAGCAAATAGCAGCGCTCAAAAACAGGTACATCCGGCGAAAAAGCGTCGTACCAATCAGGATGATGGAGGAAGTGACAGTGAGGATGAATCCGGAAGGCAAAAGGAAAAGGTTTTCGACAGCGATGACGATAGTGATGATGGTTGCAATTATGGCATGTCAAAGGACCGAAAGGGTGTTTTTGAATTCCTTAACAATGCCACGGTTAACGAGTTAATCACTGTGAAAACATTATCAACAAGGAAAGTGGATTTTCTCACTGAGCTCCGGCCGTTCAAAAGTTGGGACGAATTGGTAGATAAACTTAAATCTCACAAACATCTCCAAACAGACATTCTGAACCACACCCAAGAGTACATGGCCAGAAGAAACAATCTCGTGACCATCATGAACAAATGTAGGAAGATGTGTCAAAAGTTGGAAGCAGCTATTGCCACTGACGGTGGACGGGTTGCGCAACCGTCCAACATTCCGGACGGATTCAAACTCGCTGAGTACCAGTTGCTCGGCCTTAACTGGCTGTCCGTGATGCATCGTAACGATATGAATGCTATTCTGGCAGATGAGATGGGACTCGGCAAGACGATCCAAGTGATTGCCTTTCTAGCTTGGTTGAAGGAAAACGACCTTATCAAACATCCGCAGCTAATTGTGGTACCTTCGTCGACCCTGGATAACTGGGATAATGAGCTTAGAAAGTGGTGTCCGGAGTTAATTGTCATGAAATACTACGGAAGTCAGGAGGAACGCCGGATGATTCGAATCGATTGGGCCAAGAATGGCATTTCCGATGTGGATGTCGTCCTAACGACCTACCACATGATGGGTGCTTCGGGCGAGGAGAAGAAAATGTGGCGAGTCACACAATTTCAGTATGTGGTATTCGACGAAGCCCATATGCTGAAGAACATGACCTCGCAGCGGTACGAGAATTTGTTAAGAATTCGGGCGGATCGGCGCATTCTGATGACCGGCACGCCGCTTCAAAACAACCTTCTGGAATTGATGTCTCTTTTGTGCTTTGTTATGCCAAAACTATTTGGAGGAAAGGTGGAAGACATCAAGGCACTGTTCCAACGAATTGTAAGCTTTTCAAAGATGTCAGCATAAAAATTCCTTTATTAATTGAGAATCTTTTTAATTTAAAGAAATCAAAAGATAGTGGCGAGGATCAAACGACGTTTGAAAAGAACCAGATCGAGCGAGCGAAGCAAATTATGAAGCCGTTTATTTTACGGCGTCTGAAGAAAGACGTGCTGAGCTTTTTGCCCCCAAAGACGGAAACCATTGTAATTTTATATCGTTCTTGTATATAATGGCGGTAAACGCATACCTGTCCCATTTCGACAATTTTTAGGTTTTAATGCTTAACGCCGTAGTTTAATATGTACGTTTGGAATATCACGAGGAATATTACATAAACATGCTGTTTATTACAATTGAGGAGATTTGAAGGAAAGGGGTGTAAGTGACTTTGATCGATTCTCTTCATCGACTTTTTCTTTTGATAGCCACAGCTTTATGAACAGATTTTGCGCTATTTTTACCACATAAAGGAGGTTCTCATCTAGCATCCAGAATGGTACACGAATCAAGGAATGTGTTTGCAGCTGAATTATTAACGAAAGAGAAAGTCGATGAAGAGAATCGATCAAAGTCACTTACACCCCTTTCCTTCTAACCCCATCAATTCAAAAAAGTAAATCGACGTAGGGAATCGATCATCGCAGCTAGACCCTTATGATTTTGAAAGTTTGATTTATAAAGCAACCTAGTGTTTTTTAATTGTTCCAATGGGAAAAGTACCGGTCATTATTCAAGTGGAACAAATCGACTTTTTTTTTGTAGCATGGGACAGTTATGCGTCCACCAGCAGTATAGGGCAACACTAATGCATTTGACGTTTATTGTTGTAGATGAAAATACCCATGTTAGACTCGCAGAAGGAGAAATATCTGGACCTGATAAGTGAATATCAAAATGCGACGGGTGTGATGAAAAGCACAACCGTAATTAGCGGAATGTCCATTATGATGGAGATGCGAAAGCTGGCCAATCATCCGTTGCTTCTGAGGTGAGTACCAGTTGTTGTTTCGCACTACGGAAATCATTCCTTATTAATTTGATGAAGTCAATTAGGTATAATGCAACTTTCTTGAGATACAGTGATGTTCCGGTTTAGGCAACACGTTTTTAATGTCTTTCATTTGCTTATTCTCTGCACTTAGCAACCTTAAACTTTATGTTATATGTTTCATATACTTGCCCCGGATGCCGATCTTGTCCACTCCGGTGGCAGCGGTTGTTGGTTCTTTGCTTCTTTGGCTCTAGTATCTGCCAATCTAAGACAGCTGATGCAAACATTGAGAAATTATGCGCCGTCCACATAGATTTATGGCGCGCAGGGCCGGTAGCAGGTCACTTTTTTAGTGGCTTGGTCACTATTGTCAAGTATATTTGTTTATTTGTTTATTTCTTATGTTTGCATCAACACACTAGAAATAGTCCCAATGATGTGTTATAAAAAATACAGATTTTACAAACAAAAATAACAAGGAAAGCATTGTCTTAGTTACTAAAAATGTATAAGTCTAAACTGTTACACTTAGCTGGAGCGCCTTCGGTCAGCAAAAAAGGCAGATAATCTTCGGCGAAGCATATTCCGTGTCAAGTGGAAATCGAACATCGACGCTACTCGGTTGAACACTCGCTGCAAGCCATAAATAGCGCTCCCTAAGCTATAATTAGTTCGAAGAAGTGGAAGTCTCAGCATAAGACTGTTGCGTAGTGATCGAGGTTGAACATTAATGTTCACTTGTTGCAGAATTGCTTCGTAGTCCATTCTTCCTTGCAGAGTATCGGCGACGGTTAAGGCTCTGAAAACATCTCTTCGGATACGTAAGGGCTCGACATTGATCAATTGGCAGCGATTCTCGTAGCTTGGAAGACGAAGTGGCTATCTCCAAGGCAGCTTACGGAGTGCGAAGCGAAGAAAACGTCGTTGCACAGATTCAATTCGCTCGGCCCCATTATTGTAGTTTGGGCTCCAGACTGCAGAGCAGTATTCAAACGTAGATCGTACGAGAGAGCAATAGAGCGGTTTCAAGCAGTAAATGTCTGTGAAGTTCTTAGTAATCTTGAATACAAAGCCAAGAGTACACTTAGCTGGGTTGACCACCAGTCTGTTTAGACTACACCATTCAGCAAAGATTTCAATCTGATTTTGGAGAGAACGGCAGTCAGCGAGTGAGCGGATGCACAGAAAAACTTTCAGATCGTCTGCAAACGATAATCGTGGCCCTGTGAAACATGGTGAACGTCGTCGAAGTAAAGGAGAAATACCAATAGTCCCAGATGGCTACCCTGAGGTATACTGGACTTTGTGACAAGTACCCAAAGTGAGCTCCGTGAGGTATGAACGAAACCATCTCAAAAGATTTCCACCGATCCCTAGTCTATCAAGCTTAGCGATCGCAATTTCGTGGTTCAGCTTATCGAAGGCTGCCGTAAGATCTGTGTAGATAACGTCCGTTTGGGTCCGAGCAATCAAACTGTCTGTGATGTAAGACGTTAGGCACAGCAGGTTCGTAGTTGTGGAGCGCCCAGTTATGAATCCGTGTTGATCTATACTTAGATATTGCTTGCAATGCGCATTTAGGGACTCTATGACAACCAATTCAAAAAGTTTTGATACAGCACTCAGCGACGTGATTCCCCGGTAGTTGTTTACGTCGCGTTTGCTACCCTTTTTATGAACAGGAAACATATCCGCAGTCATCCAGCAAGACGGAATGATGCCGCTGGAAAGAGTGAGAGCTGGAATATGCGGCGCAGTGGATCTAAAAGACAAGTGATGTTCTTTTTAAGAATAATCGACGGAACACCTTCGGGTCCAGTCTTAGCTGAAATCTTAAGTTTAGATGCTGCTCTAGAAATCGTATCTGTAGTGACCAAAGGAACATTACTGGCCGCGGAAGTAATGAGATAAGCGGAGAATTGCTCGGCTTCAAACACACTAGCAAATTTGGCAGAGAACAGGTTGCAAATGCCTTGTTGATTGCCAGCAGTTTCACCATTAAAAATCATGGAAGAGGGTAAGCCGACTTCCCTGCGTTGCTCATTTACGAAGTTCCAGAAGGATTTCGGGTGTGATTTTAGCCGCCGTTGAATCCTCCTTTGATGGCGTTGAAAACAGAGACGACTTAACCGCTTATACTCGTGGTTGAGTCTGACATAGTAGCATTTCAGCGGCAGTGTGCGGAATCACAGGCAGTCACTATTTTCATCAAAAAGTTACTAAAGTCACTATTCCTTAAAATTTAGTCACTACAGTCACTTTTTTACGATCAATGAAGAATTTGACAATAAAAACTCAGAGTAAAGTCTGACAAGAAGAGTTGCGAACATATGGAAACGTTAACTGTTGACGGAATCTAATATTTTCATATCATAAATTTTCAGAGATTTCGAAAAAAGTTTTTTTTCAACTAGCAATAATCGCACCTCGGATGAACCTCATTGGTTACGATATCGCCACTGCGCAAAGCTTTCGAAAAAAGTTCTAAACCCAATATTCTGGCTATTTTACATTGAGATCTTGAAAGTTGTCCAAGTCTACACTGCAACATAAAGTTACGTAAAATTCACCTGAATACACTGAAACAAGGACCATAGTTAGGAATACTATTTTGCAGAAAAAACTTATTCTCAATATAACCACGCTTATTATCGTTAAATCTACTATGAATTCAGTATAGTTGACTATGAATGTTAACAAATTTACTATGATTCTGGAAAAACTACTATGCTTGCTCAAAATGCATAGTAATTTTGATAGAAATAATAATAAAATTAAATGAAATTGTTTTTTGCAAAAAACTATTGGTGAGGGTATTTAATTTAAACAAGCAATATAGTATTTTTACCATTGGATTTCGTTTCAATGTAGGTATTTTCCATCATACTTTTCATGTGAATATTACGTTTGAGTGATTCAAATAGAAATCAATTGATTTTCAACTAAATTTTATCGGACTTTTCGATGATCTTCAAATTGGCATCACTTAAAAGTTACGGGAATCAGCAAGTAAATGTTACTGGATTTTGTAGTAATCATAAAGTGAATTGGTGATAGACTTTAAGATTTATATTTCGATTTATTTGAGTCGTTAAATGATTGCATTCTTGGAAAATTCACTAACACTTACATTATTTAATAGTTGGCAGTGATGATCTCGAAATTGAAGTACATTAACCGTATAGTAGCCATTTTTGAATTACAAATACGACGAAAAAAAATTTCAACCTACGTGAATTTCACTTAACCTTTACCAGGATGACATGTGGACTGGACGAGTGAACCAATGGAATTCATTACCATGTCATTAAGTTTTATGTGTGGCACGTGAACCTTATTTGATTCCTATTTTGAAGAGGTTACCTTAATTTTCAGGTTAAATACCTTTCCCGTTGGTTCAATGTATAATTTCAAAAAATGGTCTACACTCAAAATAATCATCATATCAATGCTATGTGAAAATACACATAGATTTTTTCCATCGCATTTTTCACGTAAGACTTACGTGATTCTCATATGTGTAGGATCCAGTGGTGGAGGTCTTCAATATTTATTGAAAAAACACTTAATACGTCTGTTCGTCTTCAATTCTATATTTCAACTGACTCCCGTTTATAATTCACCCTCCATATTGCCTTCGTGCCCTCACCTTCTTACTCTTTTAATCTGTCTCTCGTAAACCATCTCTTTCCCTCTTTTTGGTCACAACCCTACATCCTTCTCCTACTCTCTACAAAAAAAAATAAAGAAAACAAAATGTAAAAAAATCAAGTATATCGTTTAGGCACTTTTTTTGTTCTGACAGGGCGACTCTCTCCGTCTGGCTGCTTCATTCGTTTCCGTGACAGGCAAGGCTTCTCGAGGTCAACTGCATCCTCCTTCTCACTTGTTAGGTACTTTTCCGTGGACATGTGTGGTGGCGTCTGCGAGGTTCCTTCTTCCGATGATTGCTGTTTCGAGGGTTGCTGGAGACCTGTAGAAGAATCAGAGGTGGTGGAAGATGATGGCCACTTTTTTAAGTGAGCAACTGGGCGCCGGTATTTCACTCCGTCTTCGTTAACAATGATTGTATCATTACCGGCTCGTTCAAGGACAGTAAACTTCTCCATTTTGAAGGTTGGTTCGAGCTTGCCAGATTCGTAACTCTTCATCATCACTATGTCACCGGTAATTATATCAGACTCTTTAGCGTGTCTACGATGATCTGCGTAAAGTTTGCCTTGCATTTTTTTCATCGCGTCGTTTTCTCGAATGTGTTCATCTCGGCTCCAATGCGGATCTGTCCGCAGTGATGGCAACAGATCCTTAACGGGGCGTCCAGTTAGCAGCTCCAGGGGGGCTTTCTCAGTAACCGAATGGGGAGTGGTGTTGTACATGTAAATGTACTCCTCGAGACTCTTCCTCCAATCTGTTTTAAGAGCTTTGGAAATCCGTAGCGCCTTCAAAATCCCTTGGTTCTGCCGTTCGACCAAGCCATTCATCTGAGGCCAATAAGGTATGGCATTCACCAACTTGATATTCCTGCTGACACAAAATAGAGAAAACTCTTCGCTGGAGAACGGTGGACCATTGTCCGATCGAATCGTCTCGGGATACGTGTGGTCTTTGAAAATCCGCTCAAGTGCTTCTATTGTCTTGCACGCAGTCGTGCTCCTCATTTCCACAACATGAAGATACCGACTGTAGTAATCCACTACAACTAAAAACGTAGCGAACTCTTTGGCTGACAGAAAGTCAATGGCGATATCTTGCCAAGCCCTTTCCGGCATTGTTTTGCGACTCATGGGTTCAGGTGGACCTAAGCTGCTAACAGCGGAACATCCCACACATTCCTTCACAGTACTGCAGACATCTCTATCCATGCATGGCCACCATAAGTAATGTCGTAAATTCCGACGCATTGCTACAATCCCGGGATGTCCACGGTGTGCAATCTCTAACGCTCGACGACGTAGCTTCAGTGGTAATACAATCCTGTCCTCACGTACCACGACACC